TCTGTGTTGTAGTACTTTTCAGGATGAAGGTAAGTCAGCAAACATATATTGTTGTACAGTTGTTTCCAAATGTGACTTTTTGGAGACGGTTCTTAGCAGATGAAGTTGAAACAGACCGTGTAATCAATGTAATGTATTTATTATGTTTTCTAACGTAAGAGTTTATTCGTATATACTGTAACAATGGTAGGCTTTAGTGGAATACATCAACGATACAACTTTCCGTTATCAACATTTGATTTGTTTTTGACAAATGAATTCGGAATTATATAACAATATTCATATGTAGAGAAATATATTCCATACGGACACAATAATAATTACCGATTACACTTAAATATTGAAAGCAAAACACAATTTCTCATATTTTTTAAATTTTATAGTGTCTTTATCGTAGTAATTTTTCGTGTCATTGTGTGTATTATTCTGTATTTTTTATTTTCTACGTATAAATACGCTAGCAGATTAAATCGTAAATAACACGTCTACATTTACCGCGGAATGCTAAAAGTTTCAATACCAAATACGTCAAGGTTGGGGATAGGATAATATGTTTTGCGTTTCATTGTCTTTACAGATCCCGGCATTACGACTGGTACAGTCGAAGCATGTACATTGAAGAGATTAGTACCCGCTATTGTGGTAACGCCCCCACCCCAACCCACAACATCACTCTTGGACACTGGCAATGTCTCAGTCAACATCATACCATCAATAATGGTAACGCCCGCATCAAAACCCACAACATCAAAGTCAGATATTGACTTTGTCACTGGAAGGATCATACCATTAATTGTGGTAACGCCTCCACCAAAACCCACAACATCAAAGTCAGATATTGACTTTGTCTCTAGAAAGAACATACGATCAATTGTGGTAACGCCTCCACCAAAACCAACAACATCAAAGTCAGATATTGACTTTGTCTCCAAAAGGACCATACCATCAATTGTGGTAACGCCACCACCAAAACCAACAACATCAAAGTCAGATATTGACTTTGTCTCTGGAAGGACCATACCATCAATAGTGGTAACGCCTCCACCAAAACCCACAACATCA